ATTACAAACAATAAAATAACCAACCTAACAAAATACATACCTATTCCTAGCGATCCAATATTGGGTACCATTTTCCACGCCATACCCCACAAACAGTAGCGAGTGATCCACAGGACCTCCGCAGTCGCTCGCATCGAGTATACCCCCGGAGTATGTCTGAAACGACTGGGAACTGGACCTCACGTACACCACCACCGGGGAGTAGTCGTGCAGCAGCATCTCATAGAGGTTTTCATGGTGGTATTCTTGACTTGAATAGGCATAGAATTTAAAGTGGTAACCACGTTGCATGATGATTACCGGGCAATGGTCAACCGAGTGCACACATTGACCCGTATAAGGGTGGTCACTTTCGATCTCAATATACGCAAGTTGGTTGTCCCAAATTGATTTTATAATTTCGGTGGCATTCGGCTTAGTTTGGCATATGCACCAATCAGGGTCTGTTTGATTTATGTTTAGATATTTAATATGTTAATTTATTTATAGTACTGTAGCAATAAATAAAATTTTTATATTCTATTAATGTAATCTAGAAACCTTTTATTTTATTAAAATCTAAACTATGTAATTATCAAATTATGTAAAATATGCAAAGTATGTAAACTTTGTTAGTGTTAAAACTATTAGTTTGTTTTTAAATTATGAATATGATGTAGGCGATTGATTAAGTAAAAGTATGTTAATAAATAAAGAGGTATAATCATAAACCAAATGACCATGTCAACTCTAAAGTACTCACTGCAATCAAACACCTCCTGTGCGCTCATTTTGGTCACATTTTGTGCCCGAATAGCACTAATCATATCCAATGCGTTCACTGTATCCGCGTTGAGGCAATCACTCTGTAATATAATGTTTATAGTATTTATAGTTTTAAAAATACAGTATTATATATTCTTTACTACCTTTTCGGACACCGGTAGTATAGTACCATTTTTACGCCAATCCAGTTCTGGTTCGCATACTAGCCCAGATATGAGGGCAGTTAGTATAATGGTAAGTGTTTGAATTAACATGGTTATATTTGCAACTGAATACTTATTACGTATTGTTTTTATGTATTTTAAAATTAAGCTTTGCTTATATTTATACTCATCAGTATTAACTATATTAACTCATTTTTATGCTGCATTTTGTAATTTAAATTGCACCTTTCATTGAAATTAAGTCCTCGATCAATTATTAGATTATAAGTAATCTTCGAGATAGCTTGTGGGTTGGCAAAATACATTTATCATAATTACCACATGCACAATTATGACCCAATTTGCTTGCAATGCTAACATGAATTTGATAAAAAATTTCAAAATGTTTTTAATAAATTATTTATTTATGTTTTAAAAAAAATTATAAATTGGTTTAACAAAAAACTAATTTACCATGTGAATTCTTATGTAAACTAGACACTTTTAAATTTTAAACAAAATTTATTATTAGGAAATAATATACTTGATTATTTGGCGCATGTTAATTCTTATAAATCTTATCAAATTACTATTGTTAAGAAATTGTTGCACAAAATATGATAAAACAATATATTCAGGTACAATTAAACAATGTGTACACAATGTACACGACTATTTCATTAACACAGTAACTATTTTTGAAATACATATTGACGTCATAAAAATGATACATGTACTAATAATTATAAAACGTTATTAATAAGTTTTGAAAATTATAATTTTTGATTAAAAATAGTTGTTTGGACAATGTAGCATGTAGCATTCTGAGTTAAATCGGCAATAAATTATTTTGCATAACACTGCCAATAATGTAACTTGATAAATTTTGGTTAAAAATTATTTAGTTTAGTTTATATAATTCATATGTTAGGCACTGGCTTTAAAACTACTGTCGTTTTATGGCTCTCTAGAAAGTGTGAGACCTAGGTATATAATATACAGTATATTAAATTATTAATAAGTGTTATATTTTTATTTGTTTTTTACAAACACGTTTATATTGTGTAATACACGTGTAATATTTAAAGTAATTAATAATTTAATAATTAAGTCTCTTAGAAAAGGGTATTTATATGAGATTTAAATTATAAGTAGAAAAATATTATAGTATTGAAAATATCATTTGTCATTAAATTAATTACTTTAACTATAGCATTTTAAAACTTGTTTTAAAAAATAAATAAAAATTTAACATTTAATAATAATTTAACATATAACCAAGTCTCTAAACAAGGTCATTTGATTTTAAAGTCAGTGAGATATACTGTATTGCATTATCTTAACGTAAGCTATAATTTCTGTTTAAATATAAGTTTGTTATATTTATAAATGTTTATCAAATAAAATAATTATATTCTGTAATGAATTAATTGCTAAATTATATAAGAATAATGAGGATAAATTATCTTGGTATCTCATACAACTACAATCTAATTTTAGTAAAACATTTGCTGGGCATTTTAGTAATTAATTGGGTACACATGCACAGAGATTTTACAAATGTATTATTTATTGTAAGCAAATGATTTTTAATGTGTAAGCAAGGTTATATAAAACAATTAAGATAATATTACATAACGAACTATATTACTCATGTTGTTTATTATGTTTAATCTAGATAAAATGTAATAATATATTTTAAACAATTAAGTTCAAATATATAGTCATAAAATTATACATTATAAAAATTTAATAAAGTATCATAATTAAAAATGAACAATTATTAGACATCCTGGATGTTTTTAAAAAATATTAATCAAATTAATAAAAGCATCCAGCTGAAATGGGCTACTGTCCCTACAATTAATTATAATCAATCCGGGTTAATTAATAAAAATAAATCTACCTACAGCATAATTTATTGAAACAATTTTAGTATATAAACCGCGGAATAAACACAAAATTATTTATCCAGTTCATTGGTGTTTAAAACTAATCACTAAACATTTATAAACCTTAAGTTTTTATATAACCTAGAATAATTACAATGAATATCCTTATCAATGCTATTGTGTTATCACTCGTTGTTTGTAAGTATAATTAAAATTAAAAACAATTATATACTTTAAAAATCTTATGAAATGTTAAAATAAATTTTAAATTACTTTTTAATTACAGGTTTCGTGTCGGCCCACGAAAAACGCTTTCTAAAGCCAATCATTGATGAACTACTTGGCCTAAATCACCAAGCACCCATTGCCCCAGCTCAATTAAACGTGGACCTGGCTCAACTGATCAGGGACGATTGCAAACACCCCATTGCCGCTAATTACAGACAAACTATGAAGTCATTGAATGTCGATTTGAAAGAGTTTATGATTTATGACCCCCAGGTCGGGGGTCACCCGGAGGTTAAGCTTGGTAAATTAGATATAATATTATATTTTGAATACGAAGTTAATAGTAATATAATTTTACCTAGCATATACGCCGTTTGTCACCACCAATGTAACCATTTACAAACACGCTGCCTGTACCGGTAGGGTTTCAGGGTTGTTTTTGAACGCCACGTTCCCCATTGGCGTATCGTGTAATGGCTACCATTACATGCAAACCCCGTTCATGTACATTGCTGAAATTAATGGTCAACAGCAGCCAGTACCGTTGGCTAATATGAGCTTGATCATGTCTATGATTAATGGTAAATAAAAATTATTATAATTATAATTGTGTTTATATATTAATATTATTCTATTTAATTACACCTAGGTAATATCATGGAGGTGACCATGGGCACAATTGTAGATGGTGTTTGCGCTGGTGATTTTATTTACACAGTTAATACGTATATCCCGACCGATGCAAACGCATGTTCATCAGGGACACTCAAATCATTGAATGTGACCCAGATGCAAGCTACAATCACTGGTAATAAGTGCGCAACCAGCTGTAACATGGAAAAACCTGGATCAATTTCACTTGGCACTCCAATAAATAACCATGGTTCTGCCTAATTTTAACTTGAATTAATCATGAATTTGATAGTTTTGTAAAGTTTTAAGTTTAATTAATAAAAATTATTGCATTTATTAACTGTGTTATTATTTGATGTATAATATACCTGTATATAAGCTATTATTACCTTGATAATGCATAAACGCATTATTACAGATTTATTTTTAGATTATAGCCAAAAGCTGTATTTTTTTAACCGTGTGTTTTGCTCAGATGCTATTCATATACTGAAAATGAATTAATTAATATATTTTTAAAATAAAAGTTAGTAATTAACACGGTCGCTTGCTTGAGAAAATAATTAAACAAAATGTACAAAACAGCAGACTGACCAACTGTACACTTTTGGGGTGTACAGTACACTATTTAAGGTATTTGTACACAGTGTTTTAAGATCGAAATAGTGTATAATAAATGTACATTATTTGTGAAATATATAGAAATTAATATCATTACCCAGTTGACCAAGTTTATATATTATTTATAAAAGTAAAATGTTTTTAAAAATTACACATTTGTAGTAACCATGTTAATTAAATAAACAATTCGTTTATATTTAAAATTAAACAAATATATACAGTCATTCCCAATATAGATTGGAATGGTTTTTCTAAGAAAACCACATGAAGACAATTTTTGATTTCATTCATATTTATATAAGAAATCCGGAATT